ATGTGTGAGCCACGTATGCAGACCTATGCTTGGGAGTGCAGACACCACAGCAACGGAGAGCAAACTGGAATCCATAATACAATTCTGCCTTTCACAACCTCAGCCTTTCACTCTCTGGGGTTCCAAGTTGACAACCACTCTATCAACAAATTTATCTTTAGCTTAAATTACCCAGGCAATCTACTTGTGCTTGTAATCATGAACACCGATATCCTTTATATATTCTCCAGAGACACTGATGAAAAGAATGAGGGGGGAGGGGAAGAAGGAAGGAGGCAGAGAAGGAGAGGGAGGGAGTGGGGAAGGAGACAAAAAAGGAGAGAGAGATAGAGAAGGGGAGGGTAAAGGAAGGAGAGGGCAAGGGAGAGAAAGGAAAGGGAGGTAAGGGGGAAGGGAAGGGAGAGATAGAGGAAAGGGAATGGAGGAAAGGGAAAAGAGGGGAGGGAAAGGGAGAGGGAGAGAGGGAGAGAGGGAGAGAGCAGGAGCACCAGACACACAGATACACAGATTTCCCTAGAGGTGTCAGGCAGGTCTTAGGGAACCCCAGGTGTTGTTCCCAAGGGGTTCATCCCACAACTCCTGACTGCAGCATTACCTTATGAACTTCCTGTGTGTACCTTTGTCATTGTGTCATGGCCGAAGGAAACAAGAGAAAGAATTATGTCAGACCTTGCTTAACTTCGACAGCTTCCTTCAAGGTAAACACTCCTACAGCCCTCAAAACCTGTCTGTGTTCCTTAAGCGAACTGGCAAGGTGTGCGCTGATTTCGGTAGAGGGGCTGGCAGTCTTAGTGATAGTGTCCTTTTCTTTCTCACTTGTTATTGATTAATGTATGTGTGCGAGAATGCAGGTGTGTACATGTCAATGTGTACATTAGTGTGTGTGTGTGTGTGTAGGTGTGCACATGCCTATCTATGTATTAGCGTATGTGTGTGTATGGGTGAATACATCCTTATGCATGTATTAGTGTGTATGTATGTATATGTGTTTAAGTGTGCACATGCCTATGTATGTATTAGTGTGTATATGCGTGCATGTGTGTGTGCATGTCTATGCATGTATTAGTGTGTATGTATGTATATGTGTGTTGGTATACACATGCCTGTGTGTGTATTTGTGTGTGTGTATGGGTATATACATGCCTATTCATGTATGAATGTGTATGTATAGGTGTGTAGATATGTACACACCTTTGCATATATTAGTGTGTGTATGTATGTATATACAGATGTGCATATACCTTTGTGTGTATTTGTGTGAGTATGTGGTTATGGGTGTACACATGCCTATGCATGTATTAGTGTGTATGTATGTATACATATGTAACGTGTGCATACACCTATACCTTTATTATTGTGTATGTATGTATATGTGTACAGGTGTACACACGCCAATGCATGCATGCAGAGGTCTGAGACTGCTTTCTCTCTGGGTTCCCTCCCTTCACCATGGGCTCTGAGGATGGAACCCAGGTTGTCATGTGCTCACAGCAAGTGCTTTTGACTGCTCGCCCATCCTGCAGAGCCTCTTCCTTTTCTTTAACTCAGAGGAAAAGTCTTTGCAGGCAAGAAAGGAACCTATCATGCCCCCTGCTTTTCTCCTGCAAAGAAAACCAGAGAGCCAACATTACCCTTAATTAAACTCAACTGTGATCTAGACAGGAATGGCGGCCACCTCGTGACTGGCCTTAGAAAATCAGGAGTGCCATTCCAGGATTTCTGTAAAGTGTTCTGTAAATGGCAAAGATTTTTCCGGGGGTGTGGGGGGGTCACAACCCTGAGGTGGGGCAGGGTGGGAATTTCCTCAAGGTCTCCAAAGGCCTTCCTTCAGTGGGTGGAGCAGCTGCCCCGTCTCCTGGGCCAATGGTGCTTCCTCTCATGCAACTAGTAGAATAAAACTTTATTCTTCTTGTTTTTGCAAAGCTAGAATTTTTTTTTTTATCAACACTGAAAAACAATGCAGAACAAAACATAGAAGGAAAAAAATCGGTGACAGCATCTGAAAATACCCCCCAAGAGGTAAAAGGGGAGCTCGCCGGTGAACTCTAACCGCTGGATCCAAGGGTTGCTTCTAATTTAGGCTCATTTGCATTTAACAGTTCCAACTGTGACAGGGGAGCGAGTGAGGTGATGTGTTTCTCTTTCTTAGAAGATTATTTATTGCTCTTGATTGTCCTTGTTCCTCGGAGTAGACAGTTCTTTCTCAAGGGCAGAGTAAACCTCCACCCAAAAAGTCTCTCCTTAGCTGTAAGAGCAACGCAGACATGAGAGATATAAAGTGTTCAGAGTCGAGTCAGGCCGACCCACATCGTGTGCATTTTGTTTTTTTTTAAAGGAAAAGGAAGTCCGTATTAAACAGTGAGGCCCAGAACCTCTAGGAAAGGAGCCTTGCTCTGGATGTATGAGGAGGTTCGCCCTGGGCATTTTTTACACTGATTCCTTAGGTTCCACAATTCCTTAAGAAGGCGGCAGGAATTTCCAAATACTCAGCAGTGCTCAGGATGATTTGAGCAGACAGTTCTTTTGTTACCTAGGCCCATGACAAAATGACAAAGGGACGGAGAACATAGATGTATTAACAAGGTAACGGTGTACTTTGCATAGTTTAAAATAGCATTAAATTTTAAGCCAACTCTCCAGAGCTTTCCCTAGCACATCAGCAAATGAGAAAATAATCTCTTCTGTTCTCCCTCCTGGACTAGCAAATAGTTGCTGTCACAGAGTGTGAGGGGAGGCGTTTCCTGCACCCAGTAGGCCCAGGTATGGGGCATGCATTGATATCACACTGCCAGGGAAACTAGGTGAGTCTGTCATCTTTGCATGTGCGCCTCTGTCTTTGTGAGGAATTGCCTGCTTTACCCCGCCCCCCTCGTGTTGGGAGCAAGGACTTTCTGCAGTTCTGTGCTTCTGACACAGCCATCCATCAAAGGTCACTAGCCTCAGACCCACTGTGTCTGTTTTGTTTTAACTTTTTAATGATGCTTTGTGAGTTTCACATCATGTACCTCAGTCTCTCTCATCTCCTCACTCCCTTTACCCTTTATCCGCCCTTTAACCTTGCAATGTCACCTCTCCCCAAAATCTCTCTCTCTCTCTCTCTCTCTCTCTCTCTCTCTCTCTCTCTCTCT